TCATCAAGAAAACTCCATTGTTGCACATTTGCAGCTTCAAACACCTAACTTCAAATCCACTCGTGCGTTTTCCTGTTTTATCATTCAAACATCATCTATACATCACATAGAAGCCATCCATACCCCTGTTTCATCACTGTAACACCTCCACCATCATTGTCCAAACCTCACTTTGTACCACTGCAAATTGACTTGTCCAGAAGAATTGAGACACTCTCAATCCAAGGTAGGCATTGCAAAAGCTTCCTGGGAGTTCAGTGAAGTTATCCAGATCATCCTAACACCTCAAGAAGTGCTCTAACTCCAAACTCAATTCTCACTTCAGGGGTGATATTTCTGAACTTTGAAATCTCTGTACAAGCATCATTTGCATTTATTTTCTAAAGCAAAAATGTAGATATCAATGCCCTGGAATTAACCATATCCTTAGTTTTCATTTATGTTGACTGTGTGGTGAGAATTTTGGAATTGAAGTTTCTGAGAAATTAGGATTCAGTTTGGTACCAACATAAATTCACTTTAATCTTTGAGTTTTAGCTTAAGTTAATGGTATGGCTGAATTCATGGTGAAATTTGGAACAACTTTGATGTTTACATTTTCCAATTTGGTTGAGAAATGAAGATTTCACAAAATTTGAAATTGTTGTTGCTGCAAACGTGCGCGAGGAAGAAGATGAAGTCCACTTTTCAAAACTTGTTCGTTTTATATTTATTGATTGTTGTTTTACAACCGGGTGTAATAGCCACCCTAGTGGCAGCGGGCGCGTGTTTAAGTCATACCTATGCCTGATCACGGGTTCGAGCCAGGCGTGGGACATTTTTCTTTTCCATGTTTATTTATCACAGATCCAGTGCAAGCAAGGCAATAGTGCACATGGTATACCTCATGACTGGACCATCAGATTATCATGCAATCAGATTCAACGCCCCAAGACGCATGGCCATGCACCCCATTGAGCTGCCCATATGGAATCTTAAACAGGCGCTGGGCTCCTTTACTTGGGCCTTTTTATTTTTGCTACTTTTCACCCCACATTTTCTTTCACAACATCCTGGCCCATTTACATTTTTTTTTTAAATTAATTATTTTCTTTTAATAATTTTATTTAAAATCAGAGAAAAATCATAAAAATGATTAGAAAAATTAGATTTAGGTTTTTAATTAGTTAATTTATTTTTTGACAAATAAAAATTAATTAATTTTAATCACCTTGATTTTATTTAATTATAATTAGGTAATACTTCAAATATCTTTTCTAAATAAAACTCCAAAAAAATATTTTCTAAATACTTAAAACTCTTTAGGTTTTTTTAAATTAATTAGTTTAATTTTCATAATTAAAATTAATTAAGTTAATTACACTTTGTCTTATTTTAATTTGTAAATTAATGAGAATTAGGTCTAGTTTTTCATTTTAAATATTTTCTAAACAAAGAAACAAATAAATATTTTCTTAAATACTTAGAAATATTTTTAGGGTTTTCTTAAAAAAAATATCTTTCCCCTTTTCACCACCTTCACGCACTTTATTTTCGCATTAGTATTTGACAATATTGTAATTGGTCAAAGAATGTAATAGATAAATTAGGTTTGTCTTTACCTTTTCATCCCCATTCATAAATTTGTACCCCCATCCCTGGAGCATTATAATAGCGTAAGACATTTAATTTCCGCAATTTACTGCTTTCCTTATTACTGTTAGTAATTAGGATTTGTATGGCAAGATTAAAATCAACCATTAGAACACCTAATCACCAGATAAATACTTGAAATCAAAACACTTCGCACACACGCACCTCTAAGGTCACCTCACTTGTTGCCTCAGATTTAAAAAGTCATGTCCCTCGAACGTGAGATGCTTTAGCAAAGACCCTCAATTAAAAGATTGTAGTCCCTCGATGACTATTAGATTTTGCCTTCGGTAAACGATCTTAGTCCCTTACAACAATTGCTAAAGCGTCTTACAAGTTGCCTTATATGACTGCACGATGACCCATGTCTGTCCTCACATCCAATGATAAGGCTTCCTACTAACTAATGGTAGGATATCACTATCTAAAGGAGGAGGAAAAGAACAAAGACCTTTTGAGTAGGTAGATCGCTCGTAATCGCTTGCTCACAAACTAAAACAATCTTCACACTTTTGAAACAACTATTTTTAAAATACTTTATAAACACTCTTGAGGACTGATACGAGGGTTATTATAAAAAAAACTGCCTTACATTGGCATTTTTAAACATATTTTCACAAAACAACACTTTCTTTCATAAATATTTTCAAAACAAACATTTTGTATACATTCTCAACGATACGAGAATCATTATAAAATTTTCGCACTTAGGCATTTTCAAAATATTTACAAACATACACAAACACAAAGCATTTCAAAGTGAGCTAGAAATTAAGAGCCCGTAGATAACTACAAATGAAAAGGGTGCTAACACCTTCCCTTTTCATAACCTACCCCCCGAACTCAAGAAAATTCTTAAAGGTCTTTCCTGTTATTTTCAACCTTTCCTTTATTGGATAACAGAAAAGTCGGCGGCGACTCTTGCTATTCGCAACATTTGTGATCAAATGCAAAACACCAAGTCAGTTCTCCAACCGTATTACACTTGGCATCTTTCACTTTTGTCTTGCCTTTTTTGTATGGTTTACCAACCCTAGCAGAACATTATGTTGTATTGATCTCAGGAATGCTTGAAATGAAATCATCAGTTATGTCTCCAAAATAATCAATTGGTTCAGTTGCTACAGTTTGAGTTTCACCTGTTTGTGTTGCAGTTTGAGTTACAACAGTGTGTATTGTAGTTTGAGTTTCACCAGTTTGCGTTGCAGTTTGAGTTGCAGTAGTGTGTATTGTAGTTTGAGTTGTACTAGTTTGTGTTGCAGTTTGAGTTGTACCAGTCTGTATTGGTGCCTCAGTTGCACCAGCTTCACCGACTTGTTGAACATCATCAATTGTACCTACTTTGACCTTCCTCTAAAAAATTAAAACACATTACTTATTAGTTCAAAATACATGATATGTCAGTTCAAAATACACACTTATCATACCTTTCTCTTTAGTCTATTAGGATCTTGTGTTGTGCTTTTACATATTTGAGCATTGTGACCAAATTTATCACACTTAGTGCATCTGTAAGAAACACCTGAAAATCTCCTCCTTCTAGCACCCTCTTCACCATATTCCCTTATCCTTAACTTTCTTGGTTTGCCTAGACCTTTCTTGTACATAGAGGGTAAAATCTCCTCTGACTGAACTTCTGACCATATTTCCTCACCATTAATTGGACTCACAAAAACTATAGCATATTGCATACTTATTTCTATAATAACAGTGATCAACAAAATCCTGTGGATTCTGTTGCCTAAAACCTAAAGCAGCAACAACATGCCTACAAGGAAAACTAACTAAATCCCAAAAATTACAAGTACATGATCTCTTAGAAATGTCAACTATAAATTCCCGACTGTTATAAGAATGAGTGACTTAGATTTTTTTCATCCATTTCCCAAGTAGGCAACCATTGACCACTAAACATAACCTCATTATCAAGTCTTTTTCTAGGAATTGACATAACCTTATGAGGCCATTTTTAAGCTTCATGGAAAAACTAGAGCATATGTTCATTAAATACTCCCTAATCCACTCACACATTGTTAAAATTGGTTTATCCCTAACACTTAATATGGTGGCATTAAAGGACTCAGAAATATTGTTCATAAGAACATCACATTTAAGGTAGAAACTGAAAGCATGCTTACACCATACCTTTGGAGGAACACCCATTAACCAAGTCCAAGCATTATGATCTGCCAGCTTCATCTCATTCATCTTTTGTAACCATCCCTGATAGTATGTAGACTTCACAGCCTCCATCATTAGATCTCTAATAAAAGCTCCACCTCCAAATCTTTTCTTGAAATTTGCATAAAGATGCCTTAAACACATCCTATGCTCTATCCTTTCAAATATCTCCTCAAACACAACTTCCAAATCCTTAAACATTGCATAATATTAGTGCAAAGTAAAATTTGCATAACATATAACTTAATGACAAAAAAGGTATACCTTTTGTTGATCAGATATAAACACGAATCTCTTGTCCTTACCTACATCTGTCATCAATAACTTAAGAAACCACCTCCAGCTTTCTTTGGTTTCAATCTCAACCACCCCAAAGGCCAAAGGAAAATACTGATCATTTGGGTCTCTATCCACAACAATTAATAACTGACCCCCATACTTTGTTTTTAGATGACATTCATCAACTCCAACAAAGGGTCTACAACCATTAATGAAACCCTTTTTATAACCATCAAAGCAAAAATAAAAGGAACCAAACCTTGGCTGAATAGATGAACTTGGTATTTCTACAGTGATACTCAAAGTGTTCCCAGGATTCACTCTATGTAATTTTGCAGCATATCTCCTTAATTTTGCATACAGTTTATCTGCATCTCCTTCAAGCATATTCTTGGCTATTAGTTTATCCTTCCATTCCCTAGCCACCGTGATTCCCACGGAATAATTTTGCCCAGAGTCTTTAATTATATCATAGATTCTGACATTATCAGAAGTTTGCATTTTCTTCAACACGGCCTTAGCCATCCACCTTGAACTTGCAGATTTTTTGTCTAAAACCCTAGCACATGTGTGTTTTTCAACTATGGTTTTTATAGCATAATTGAGCTTATGGCCCACTTTGGAGCACAACATTAAAAACCCACAATTGGCCCTGCATACTACCCTTACTCTGTCACTTTCATTTTTCACAAACGTAATTTCCCTCCCATTTAATATTGACCACTCACAGATGGCATATCTAAAATCATCTAGGAGTTGAATTGCATACCCCACTGAAATTTAAAATCCTTATTTAAATGCTCTTTCCTAAACTTTTCAAACTTTGGCATTTTCCCTTTGTCACTATCAGATAAATCTGAGTCAGAGCTATCCAGCCCATCACTCACATATTCTTCATTCTCACAACTTTACTGTTTAGACCCAGTCATAAACTCACCAACTGAAGGGCTCTCATTAATGGGTTTAGTTACACAAATCCCTTCAAAACCATCTATAATAACAGTAGACCGTTCATCCTCACTATCACCCAATCCTTCTACTAAATTATCATCACATCCTTCCATCTTAACATTCTCATTGACACACCTTGGACTACTTACTGAGGCTCCAATATCAGTAACATCATGCTCCACGAACATTTCCCCGTCTAGTTGGGTCCCACACGCGTATGCAGCGAAATCGTAATAGTCATCATCCTTCATAATCTGAAAATAATTATCATCTATTTCACGAATTAAAGTCCATGTTCTATATGTTCCCTGCTTGTAACCCCCAACCGGTAACCAACTTATGAATGCTAAGCATTGTCAACTGATCCATGTGGAGATCCAAAACTAAAGTATATACACCCCCTTTGTAAATCGCAACCCTATTATTCAACATTACAAATTCACCTCCATGGTGGAATACATCATTAAACAGTTGATTATTCTCAAATCATTTGGGAAAACATTAAAAAACTAACATTTAACTGTATGTATGAGTAAACGAACAAGCAGCTGAAAAAACTTACCCTTTTAGCATCAATAAAAGCGCCTTCTTCGTCGTGCTTCTTTGGTTTCCTTGAATGCTTCGATTTTTTTGAGCGTTTCTTCTTCTTCGTTGCATGTTTCTTCCCCATTATCAGCTTGCTAACTTTGTCTGACAGTGAACTCTAGCTTTTCAAGGGGGTGAATCAATATACGAAAGATATTATAAGTAATGACCATAAACAGTCCAAGGTGGCATATAATTACCCAGTCAGCAAACAGTCACAAGCCCCGTCTGCAACTCAAAGAGAATCTTGGGCTATAAGGTTTTTCGTTTTGGAATCTATATTAGTTAAGGGGAGAAAATAATTTTTTTTATAAAAGGGGGAAAAATCAAAACTTGTTACTATTGCAAGGGGGTAAAGTGTATTTAACCCGTTTTTTATAATAATTATAAAAAAAACTAAACTGCATAAAAACTTAATGAAAAAAAATCATTGACATGAATAAAGAATATATACACCAAATACCACAATAACAAACTAAATGAATTTCATAAAGATCGAATTTGCAAACGACTCAAAAATTCAAACAACACAATTATAATATTCGAAGGTGTAACAGTAGTTGGAGTTACCAACCTGGAGTGTCGTAACCGAATTAAGTTGTCCCTTCCTTCTTTTTGATCCTATAGAATTCCTTCCTCTTCCTTTGATACGAGAGTTTCTTGGGTTGATGGAAGCTTTTAGGATTTTTAGTCGTTGTTCGTGAAGAGCAATAACTTTTATTGTTATTCGTGAAGAGCAACAATTCCTTTAGAAAAGAAAGTATGTAAATCTATTGATAGAATTGTGAATTGTGGATGAATTGTTGATGAGGAATATGAAGTGAATAGAGCTCTATTTATAAGAAAACTTTAGGTCAAAAATTAAATGTGATTCACCTATTTTTGACAAGATTTATACTGATTGAGGTTTGATTGAAACTTGGAGAACAAAATTATGAACCTAGACACTTTTATGACTTTTTTTCAATATTGTGATTGATTCATGACGAAGATTTGATTTTGACATATTTTATTTATTTTCTTAATTTAACTATTAAGTGCATAAAATCAAAGATTTAAAAAAAATAAAAAAACAATTTTTTAATGCCCCTAAAGTGGAAAACAAAAATAATAATAAAATAATTAAAAAAAGACTTTTTTATCTTTTTTATTAAAAAACACACAAAACTGAAAATAAATTCAAAAAGTAGTGCAATGAGACTTGAACTCACAACTTTATACTTAAACCCCTTATACATGTCTCCTTACCAATCTTACTATATTATTTATTCAAATTTAAATGAAATTAAAAAGTATATGAATGTGACATTTTTTTATTTAAAAAAAAAACAAATAATTTAAAACAAACAATTATATAAACGAACTTAGATTAGTAAAAATAAACCTATTTTAAACCTAAACAAATAATTCAAAGTTAAGCTAGATAGTTTTTTGTTTTTTTTAAATAAACTAAAAATAAATTAATATTAAAGTTAGTGTAAGAACAATATGTGTTTCTACATCTGACCTTAAGATTTTGATGATAATTTTACACGATATCATAAAGAACAATTGTATGTTCTAATGGTTTCGTTATAATATGTAGCTATTACTGTAATGTTCTAGATCTGGTATCAAGGCGTGTGATGTCATCAGGTCCTGAACATAAACACTACTGGATGAACATGTGGTTTCGTGTTACAGTTGAAGTCGAGATTCTGGAATTCATCTTATGCAACGGGTTCTGATCATGAATTTATGGTTAAGCTTTAGAGGCCTTCTAAAGTTTTGCTTCTGTGTGTTACAAGTTCCGAAGATTATGAAGACAAGGTTCTGCTGAACAAGTTCTGATGATCTGAAGAAAAGCAAGTTCTTACAATCAAGTGTTGAAGATTCTGAAGACGAGGTTCCGATAGGACAAATTCTGAAGACTCCAAGACTTAGGTTCTAAGACTTAAGAGTGATTCTTCTACAACAAGCTTCAAATATTCAAATCATCTGAAGCCTCTGAAGATAAGAAGAAGTTATAAATGGTTAACGTGTGATGGTGTACAAAAGGTACAAAAAATGCTATGTGACATCTACCCTCTAGGGTGGCGTAAGGATAGTCCTTTCGTACTATACTGTGACCATTCTCATTATGACTGTTGAGAATAAACAACTTTATTTTTCGATTACTTTTCTATCCTTTCAACGGATCTCTTTTACAAGTTATAAAAGAAAGACCTGGAAGCTGAAGAAATGTAAGAATCAACATTACACAAACCTATCAGATTAAATCAAGCTCAAGCAAAACTACACCAAAGTGTTGTGCAAACTCTTTAGAGAAATCTTATGGGTATAGTTTTGTAAATAAGCAAGGAGTTATTGCTCGTATCTTGTTATGAAACACTTATATGTTTTTCTTTGTACTGAAACATTTGTGTAATCTGCTTAGAAGAAGCAAAATATAATACACTGAAAGTATTCAACTGTTGTTGATTCCTTGAGAGACCAAGTGAAGGTCAGATCTCAAGAAGACTCTTGTTGCGGTTTGAACAGATTTGCAATAAGATCGACTGACTTATTGGGAGTGCCAATAAGGTAGATCTGACTTATTGTGGGTTGTCTGTAATCGGTTTGATTATAATGGATTAAGTCTTTGTTGAAGGAAAATCACCTTGCGGGGTAGAATGTACTAGGTTAGTTAACAGCGAACCAGAATAAAAATAATTGTGTTTATTTATTTTTATATTTTAAGTTAACTTAGTTTTTCATCAACAAAAAGATTTAATATTTATTTTGATGAACCCAATTCAAATCTCATTTCTTGTGTTTCTCACACCTTCAGTTAAATGTTAGTAAAAAATATAAAAACTCTATTTTAAAAATAATTAAAATATTTAAAATAGGACAGACAAATTTGAGATATAAGATTTACCGTAGTGAAAGGAGTGTGACCCTTTGTAATCCCGAAGTTGTACCCTATATTAGAAACATGATAATAACAAAACAATTTTGATATTTATAATTTAATCCATTTATCAATGAGACAATGACACGTGGCATGAAAAATAGAAAAAATAAATAAGAAACAGAAGCATATTAACAAGTGAGTGGCAGAAAGAAAAAACACCAATATTTTCTCTCCCTCTTCGTTTTCGATCTACTCCCATATCTCTTCTTCTATGTCCCTTCACTCTCTTCTCAATCTAACCCAACAAAAGCAACATAATAAATAGCAAATCATAGAAACAAAACATGCTTACCTCTTTAATGGTTCAGCGGCGGCTAGGAGTCCCAAACGTGACGCGATCTGCAACTTGTGGTGTTTCTTCGGTGTTCTGCGGCGGTGGGTAGCATACAGTCGGCATCGTGTGGCTGGGGGTGAGCTGTGGTCGGACAATTCCGGTAGTGTGGCCTTAGAGCCGACGGCGGGATTGAATGGGTCACCGACGAGAGTGGAGCTCACGGCGGAGGTCTTGCGCGGAGGACGGTTGAGGTTTGGGCAGCGGTGTCGCTCGATTCGGGGCGGAGGGAGTAGCCGTGTTGCCGGCAGATAAAGTGTAGTTTCAGATTTAGGACATTGAAATTTAAAATTGAAAAGTAGGTGGTTCCATTAAAAAATCACGTGTCTATTGAAATATCAGTTCAGTTATAAAATAATAAAGAAATGTAACATTGGATATGCTTCCATATCATTAGAAATTACATCTCACAAATCAACCTAAATATCATCACAAGAATTGAAGCAATTCTGTCTAAAAATTACTACTTTACATGTTTACAAGATATATTGTGCATTATAATATTTGATGTTTTCAAGTGTTTTGTTTTGACTTTTAAAAAAGTTTGACTAGTAGTAAAATTAGTTGGCTAAATGAGAAAAGAAAAAGATCGTTTACATATGTGAATGATAGAAAGACGTATCTTAAGTACTTGAATAGAAGAAAATGTATTACGTACAAAAATGAATCTTTTAATATATGTGTGAGTATATATTGCAAGAGAATTTTTACAATGTGTTTGAGAAAAAAAATCAATATGATAACTATCAACAAAAATTATCATATGGTTTAAAATAGCAAATGAATTGAAATTAAAGAAAATTGAAAATAAGAGGGAGGAGTCTCGTATGAATATCATTGATCAAATAGTTTTGAAAAAAAATTGTAAAAGTAAAATCAAAAAGATGTTTTAGAAGGGTTTTTGAAAGACATTGTGTGTGTATGTGAAATTGCAAAATTGTGGATGATTGTTGATTATCATATAGTGTAAAAGAAAAATCTATTTATAGTGATATTTGGGTAAATAAAATAGGAAATAAAATTAAATATTAACCAAAAATAAATCAAATAATATCTGATTATTTCTTAGTCCAAAAGCTAACCAATCAGATGTTAGAGTGATGCAGAATGACCAATAAAAACAAGTGGAAAAGATTTGATTTTTTTAAACACTTTTTGATGAAAATGCATAAAATAAATTAAATATAATTATTAAAATATGCCTAAAATAAAAATAAAAATAAAAAATGAATAATAAAAAATAGAATTTTGTAACTTTGGAAATGGAAATAAAGTTACTAACAAATGAAAGGAAAAATGTTAATAAATAAAACAAGTAAGACTCGAACTCATGACCTTATACTTGCAAACCTCATCTTCTTACCAATTATGTTGTCTCTTTTATTCAAAATAAAAAGGCACTTGAAAGTATGTGAAGGGTGGGAAAATATTTACTATTTAAGAAATACAAATAATTTAAAGTAAACTATTATATATTTTTAAATAAGAAAAATAAATTGAAAATATCTATAAAACATAAAATATTAGTGTAAATAAACCAAATAAATTTATAAAAAACAATTTTAAAAATCATTTGACTGTAGAAAATAAGGCGGACAAATTTGAGGTATGACAGCTGCCCCTATTTAATTACTCTTCGATTGAAGGGTGCGAGAATATGAAGTTCTCGCACGTTCGGATCGAAGGGTTATTAAATAATTAAAGACCCCATAATTTGACCAAAGATTCTTTTTTGTTGAATTTTTTTGAAAAATAGTTTGAAAAATAAAGCAAGTAATAAGTAAATAAGGGCAAAGATGATGCAGATAACTCATCAATGCCTGGGAAAAGTAAACGTAGATAACTCTGATGTGATGATGCAGATAACTCGCACATATCAAAGGTGACCAAGAGAAGACGATGCAAATAACTCGTCAGCGCCTGGAAAGACAAACATAGATAACCTTGACATGATGACGCATATAACTCGTACATATCAAAGGTAACCAAGAGAAGACATCACAGATAACTCGTCAACGTCTGGAAAAGCAAACGTAGATAACCTTGATATAATGACGTGAATAACTCGTACATATAGAAGGTAACCAAGAGAAGACAACGCGGATAACTCGTCAATGCTTGAAGCATGGATTAACATATCTATCTTTGCCAATAGGCTAAACCAATAGATATGAAAAAGGACGCCATCACAAATTTTGCATTCCTACCATAATCTAGGGGGTAAACAATGCGGGTATCAACTCTACCTTTTCCAAGGGACTAAACCAATAGAGTTGAAAAGGTTTGAAAATAACTCGATAACACTTCGGGACTAACATGAGAAGTTATATAACAGATTTTGCATATTTATCACAACCTAGGGAATAAATAATGCGGGTTTGGAATTTGATACTGAAATTGAAATTTGATAAGTGAGACTTGAATAACTAGGCCATAAATATGAATCGTAGATATATCTCCTAGTGTAATTTTAGTTGTAGTACCTCTAATTGTTATTATGTTCTTAACCGAGGTAGCTATTATAATAGTGTGAAAAAGGATAGTGCTAAGCTTGGATTTTGAATATTGAATATACCTTAACTGGTAAACAGGCCTTGAGATTTCTGAAGTATTTCTAGGCCTTTATGATTGAATGCAATGCATTGTTAGGATGATTATGTTTTGATATGGTTATGCTTGATGTATATGTTGATGCATGGTATGTTTTTGTAATGTACGCTTGATGATAATGTTATGAGGGCTTGGTGCATGATATGTCACATGATATGCTTAAGTGAAGTGACATGATAAATGCATGACGATGACTTATACGATGATTGATAAATACAATGCACCGGTTATTGGAAGTTGAACTAGTGACTTGAAGGTAGGCTACCAGACGAGACTTGGATTTTGAAATGAATTCCCAGATGGGAACTAGGTTTGACTCGGGCTACCGAAAGGTGAACAACTTGATGATAGGCATCAATAGGGTTACCGGGAGACAAACACAATAAGGCCATTAGCATCGGTAGGGTTACCATAAAGAAATCAAGGAAGTAAAGTTACTAACATCGGTAGGGTTACCAAGAAACATCAATCAGGCAATTGGAAAATGAACAAACAATAAGGTTACTGGCATCAGTAAGGTTACCGAAAGACATTAATCAGGTGATTGGGAAAACGAAAAAACAGTAAGGCTACTGGCACCGGTAAGGTTACCAGAAAACATTAATTAGGTGTTTGGAGAATGAACAAACAATAAGGTTACTGGCATTGGTAAGGTTACCGGAAGACATCAATTAGGTGATTGGAAAATGATCAAACATTAAGGTTATTGGCATCGGTAAGGTTACCAGGAGACATCAATCAGGTGATTGGGATGATTAGCATTGAGGATAAACCTAGTCAAAAGGTTATCACTGACTTAGCTAGGGATTGATTTTGGATTGAGAATAGCTACTCCCATGTGAATTGATTTTGGACTTTTTCCATGTGTGCATGCTTCATGCAGATGCGAGTGTTAATGCGTGGTATGTTTTGATTCAATGATGCATGCCATATGATATGCGTGGAATGATGTATTTGATGCAGATAGTGGGTTAGAAATGGATTTTGGATGAGCTGACAATGAGAATTGGGATTAAGGTGCCACGATGTATTGGGATTTCTGGTGTAAATTCCAAGTGAGATTTGGCTTTTTGAGATTGTTAGATTCATGCTATGGCGATATGAATGAGGTGATATGTATGGTTCGATGCTAGAGCGTAACGACCTAATGGATGCATGACAATGATTTATGATGACTTGGATGTTTTGACTAGTGCCCCTATGATGGTTTATAGATGGTTAAGATTGAGAGGTTGTTTATGTAACAAGGCTGCTTGTCACATGATGGTAGGGTGTTATGCTAACATGATTTCTTGATACTCGTTTCGAACTCAAAGATTGCTGATCTAGGAGAGAGCTTCACTGAGGATTATGAAAGTAGGAGGAGAGCTTTCCCTTCGTGGCATATCTTGCCTTAATTTAATAGTCTTTGTAGAGATTTGCCTTGATATGAGCTTGAAAGTAGTTTGACCATAGTATGAACTTGAGATGGATGGTCCCACTACTTTTAACTTTGAAACCTCTATGCTCCAAATTAGATTGATCTTGGAATGATTTTCCCTGATGAGACTATTTTTTGAGGTGGTTTCTTTGGATCGGGCTTTACAGTGGTCTACCCCCACATTCGAATTTTGAAAGGTATACCCCAATCTTCAAAGTCTGAAGGAATGTCCCAAGGAGGAACTTAAATCTCATCATGCTGTGATATGACTTTGGTATGGACTGCCCCCTAGTATCTAAATCTTGAAAGGTATGCCCTTGATTAACTGGTGCTTTGAGATGTGACCCAAGTTAACCGAATCTTAGAATGATTTCCCCTAGTCAATAGGATCTTTCTGTGATATTCCCCTATGATCATTAGGATTTTCCCCTGATTAGGAGAACCTCTCAGGTGTTTTGCCCCTAGTTAGCAGCTTCTCGAAATAGTTCACTTTTGATCATACAATTGTTGAAATTTCCTTGATGTTAAGTCTTGATTTGCACATAAAGTTGTACCTTTCAAAAAGTAATTCTAACGCGATGCACATGTAAGTTTTGAAATCGAAATTGGTTATGGAAAATAATTATGGTGAATTTTGATATGGAAAATAGATACAGCGTGCCATGAATGAGTACGGATGAAGATGCGAAAAACAATGTGATTAGCGATAAATTAACAAACATTAGGAGTCAGTTTAACACAAATCCTGCTGAGTATGCTTTCATAGTGGACCTAGCTTCAATTAGGACTTTTTAAGGTTATAACATGGCCTAGTTCACGGTTTAAGAAACAAAGGATATAAGGCTCAAACTTTCTTTAACCCACCATATTCTCCATTCTTAAATTCAATTAATTCAATTGATGTGTTCGGTTTGTAAGAGAATTTATGTAGTCACGATGATAAAAGAAGCATTGATAAGGTTCAAGCATCTGATGAGAAACACTTGATGATTTTTGAGATGCCAGTCACATACTTTGGTTTACAAGCTTATTTCCATTTTTTGCTTTCAATCCCTTATTTTTGTATGGACTGATTCTTTTGAATTTTTCGGTCCATCAGAATGCCCTAACTTTTGCCTAAGTCAACTTTTCTTGTTTTGGATTTTTTTTTCTTTTGACTTAGCGGGCCTATTTTTTTTTGAAACATTCTTGATATTTTGCTTTTGATTCATGAAAGTTGTGACTGCAATGTGAAATATTGTGAACATTTATCTTCATTGCTTCCACAATCTTTGATAATGTATGTGAGGAAGATGTGGTGAGGTTTGTCTTCGTTGTCTCCTCAATCTTTGATGATGTGCACGAAGAAGATGATGTTCTTAAACCTTCTTTCTTGAATGAACTGATTCTCTTGAGATTAGAATGCATCATTAAATTAATTGAAAGATTACCATGTCCCTGGTTAAGATTAAGGATTTTAAGAAAATAGAAACAACTCCAACTTCTGGCTCGAGGGGGTTGACTACTGATTAACTCCTTATTTCTCTAGTGTTTAGGAAGTGAAACAATGCCTTACATCATCAGCTAGGTCTTAGTATTAAAAAGAATATGTCAGCATAATTAATTTATTTTTTTATTTACATCATTCTCCCTCAAAGTTTGTTAAAGGCGAAAATGGAAATGGAAAGTTGAAAAGTAAAATGGAAAAGTATTGTTGTTATTTATGGAAAATGATGATAATGAAAGAGTGAATACAAACGGATTGACTTCAAAAACATGCACTCTCATTTCTATGGACTTTGTGATGAGTTTTCCAAAGATGATGAAGGGGTGTGATTCTATTTGGGAGATTTTTTGTAGGATGACTAAATCGGCTCACTTTATTTCGATTATGATCAGTTATCCTTTACAGAATTTAAGTGAGTTGTATTTCGAGAAGATTATTAGTTTACATTGTATTCCTTCGAGTATTGTGTCAGATAGAGATTCAAGTTTAACATTACGGTTTTGGTAGAGTTTGTAGGAAGTGTTGGGTACTAAGTTGTAGTTGAGTTATGTTTATCATCCGCATATGGACGAGCTGATGGAAAGGACTATCCAATATTTGGAATACTTGTTGAGAGCTTGTGTGCTAGAGCATGGAGGTGCTTGGAATAGCTATTTGTCGTTGATTGAGTTCACTTACCACAACAATTTCCATTTGAGTATTAGAATGACACCGTTTAAAGCGTTGTATGGAAGGATATATAGAACTCCTTTATGTTAGTATGAATCATGTGGAAAGTGATGTGTTTAGACCTGATATTGTTCACGGACCTCTGAGAATATCAAGATGATCCAAGAGAATATGAAAGCTTTGCAGGGTTGCTAGAAGAGTTACCATGACAAAAGGAGGAAAGCACTTAAGTTCCAAGAGGGATATCACGTGTTTTTAAGAGTTACTATGAAAATTGGTGTTGGTCGATCTTTGAAGTCTCGAAAGCTTACGCCATATTTTGTTTGTCAGTACCAGATCTTGCAAAGGATAGGAGAAGTGGTCTATCATATTTTTCTTTTGATATTGTATGCCTTGTTGTGCCTTTTTGTTTTCGTTTAGATGTTGTAATCGAAACAAAATTATAGTTGTTATTCTTTGGATTGCAACCTCTGAGTTTTGTTGTTGTATTATTCTCTTCACTTTTCAGGTTTGTGTGGGTCTCTTTTATGATGGAAATGTTTGAATCAACATGGTGATATCGATTATTTATGTTCATGGTTTTTTTGTGCGAGATTGGAATGATGAAGGGATTTCTTCGGAGCAATGGAGATATTGCTCGGTGGTGACTCCGTTTTGTGTTAGTACTGTTGCTACTCCAAATCCACCGTTCTTCTTCTTTTTTTCACTCTTCCCTGAAAAAACACAACAATTTGTACGAGTGTATATCACGAGTTTAAGGTTTATCCAGATAGTTACTATTATTAAGGGTTTTTTGTACTGGATTATGATAATATGTGGACGCAAAGCGGTAAAGAAATCTTTACAAATCATTATTGTTTTTTTCTTTGCAAATTTGAAGGTTATTTGATTTGTGTTAAGTTGTTGATTTTTTCAGAAAAATATTATGGTTGTATGATAATTTGCAAGGAGT